CCACACACCGCATACTTTGCCATGAGGATCCTGCGCGTTTGGACGACAGCGTCGCCCTGTGAGAGAGCTTGGTCCCGTTGGAGTTTCATCCACTCAAAGACTCGCAACAGGTTGGAGGTTGGATGGGCTGAGAAGCTCGTGTGGTGCCATTAGAACCTCCGTCTTCTCGACCGTCCATCTCTGACCGAGGATGCTCCTCACGACAGACCCGATCAATTCGGGAAGTGGGTTCACTATTGGCAGCATTTGGAGGACGAGTTGCCCACTGACCAGAAGCTTGTTGCGGGGAGTGGAGCGAGATTGGCAGCCACACAAGAGGAGATGCGTGTGGCGAGGGAGCAGATGCGCAGTGTTTCTCGCATGGGCACCGAGCGCCGCCTTGTCCAATCGGACAAGAGACAACGTGGACATGTTCGGGGTCGTGGCGGGCGTGGTGGGCGTGGGGGGCGTTCTGGTCGTGGACGAGGTGGGCGTGGGGGACGCAGACGTGGATCAGCGGGCGGGGTATGTCCTCGTAGTGCGCAACCTGGGCTGCGTGATGAGGCGATGGTCGACCTTATTCGTTTCCCTCGACAACATTGGGACGAGGGTGATTTTTTGTATCACAGCTCCGATAGCGACGACGAGTATTTCTTCTGTACCGCCATGCCGCGAGGCGGAGACGACGACGGCAGGCCGGACGACGACCGTCCGGATGATGACGATAGTGATGATGGAGCGGGCGACGGTCGGGACCCTCGATCGTTGAGACGGGGTGGTGGCACTGGTGGGAGAGGTGCTGTTGCACCACRAGATGCAGCASGTGATGGCGGAGGATTAGACSTCGTCGACGGTGGAGGCGGCTCAGGCGGGCCACAGGCCGAGGATACCGGAGCAGCGCTGGAGCGTACACGTGCGGATGTGGCTATGGACGCCGAGCAGCATGCGGGAGTGGACGTTGTCGACGGCGGAGGCAGCAGGGATGGACAGGCCAGTCCCCCGCATGGCTCGAGACCTCACCTCGTACGATTGCGGCATGGGCCGAAGAGGACACAGTCGATTGCCGATCGTGTGCGGCACCGCCACGGGACCCTCCCCCCCACCGTTCGTCCACGAGCCGTTGAGTCTGAGCTTGTCCCCGTTTCCGAGGACTCCATGAGTGATGGGTCCGTCGATGAGCGACACCCGTCACCTGCCGGCTTGGCGCGGGAGACACATCCGGTTGCCGACGGGGCACAGGAGGACGCACGTCCAGTTCATGGCACAGAGCAGGACGCACATCCACTTCCACGCAGTCCAGTGCTCGGTGGTGGTATGGACGCGGCTGACGTGTGCATGGAGGTGATGGAGGCGATGGACTTAGGATGTCCCCCTGCGCCGATGACGGACGTAGATCAGCGCGCCGAAGCGGCGAGTGGATTACCACGCACAAATATCTCAGGAGTGTCTACCATGGAGGATGGTGAGATCACTCCAGTGGCGGGAGGCCTGGGAGACGGGAATGTTCGCCTCTCTCACCCCACCGGCAATCTTCCTCGAACTGCTGACCTGCTCTCCATAGGTTCTGCACTCGACGGGCTCCCCGACATCCGCACCCTCGTTTCACCGTCATTGCCGTACATGCAGCCCCCTTGCCCCGATGGTGGGAGCACCCGGGCCGCAGGAGACAAGGATGTCCGCCTCGCGTGCCCCGGCGGTAGTCTTCCTCGCATAGGTGACATGGTGGGCATGGGCACGCTCCCCGACAGCATGTTTGGTGCTGACACGATTATTCCACCATCGTTGCCGCTCGTGCCGCCCCCTGGCCTCCAGGGTGAGCCCGCTCGCGACGCAACAGACAGAGGGTTTGACGAGTTCGGTGGAGATACGATATTGTCTGCCATGGCCTCTGCAACCCCATCCGTATTTCGGGTAGGGAAACCCCACGAGGTCGCTCTAGGCTTGGCCGAGACCACGGCACGCAATGGAGGTCTGCCACATACGAGGGACGGGCGTAGCTCCGCTCAACGTAGCCTCGCTGACTCTTTGGACGGAGCGTCTTCTTACAGCGGCGCGCGAGAGGGTGCGCCATTGGGTGGACTTGGAGGGGATCCTTGTGTGGGAGCACCGTCGACGACCAGGGGTGGAGAGGGTCGATAAGGGGCACCTCCGACCAGCGCGAGCCACGCAGAGCCTGGGAAGGACATTACACCAGCTTCGTCGGCTGCCGGTCGCACTGGTGACAAACCTGCCACGCGCATGGATTCTGCACCACATGCGGTTGGGAGGGGTGGTAGGGAGGAGCGACAGGGAGGAGCTTATGCGGGGGGGTCTGGCCCACCTGTGCCAAGGTTGGCAGCATCGTCTTTTTACGACCAGGGGAGAGCAGCACCAGTCGATGGCGGAACCGCGGCAGGGAGGAGTGCATGCGGCATGCCAGATGTGCCCTTTGGAACACGTTCCATCGGCGCTGTTGGCGGTCGTAACCATGGTGCGATGCGTGAGTATGAGGACCAGCATGGCAGACGGCTGGCCACGAAGACATCAGATGTTGCCTTCACCAAGGTGGTGAAGGCTAGTATGTCGCGTGCAAAGAGTAAGGGCGGACACGAGAGGTCTTCACAACATTCGAGTCGTCGTGGCACCGCACCCAGGGAGTCTGTGCATGGTGACACTCGGGACGAGGAGGTTGCTGCAGCGCATGGTGGTGTACCGGAGGATGGACAGGCAGGTGATGGAGGCCGTTCACGCAGATTGTCACGCGTGCATGACAGCTCCGGCAGCGCAGGGGACGAGCGACGCAACCACACCGAGGGGTCTGGTCGTGGAGAGAAGAGACGAGGTGCTTTCACCATTGTACACGATGACCGTTCTGACATCCCAACCGGCGAGTCGACGGGGGCCGACGACCCAGGTGACTCCGATTATAGACCGGATGGATCTCGACCTGCACGCATGGAGTATGGATCTCGACCTGCACGCATGGCGGATGGATCACGACCAGCAYGCATGGCGGATGGATCTGATCCTGGAGGACGTCGACTCAGACGCAGGGCAGCACTCGATGCACAGGGACATTTGACTCCTTCGACTCTGAGACCATTCATCCCCCGGCCCCGGGTTGACAGGGGCGAACAGGCTCGTACAGTCCTACTGGCAATAGAGGCTAGGCGACTTCAAAGATTGACCCCTGCATTCCCGCGTCGTGATGGAACTGATGATCAGAGAGAGAGGCAGACAGTCACAGACATAGGGGGAGTGACAGGGGGGGGGGTAGGTGATGGATCTGATGGTGGAGGCGGGGAGGAGGGTGGTCTTGGGAGTGAGAGAGAGAGAGTGAGAGAGAGAGAGTAGTCTTCTACATGGGCATATCTATTTTTGTCGGGCCCATTGTATTTTAGTTGTGTTTGAGAGAGAGAGTAGTCTCCTATACGGGCGTCGTCAGACTCGTCAGTGTCGTCACCATCGAGCCTTCGGCGTGGAGTTTGAACCGTTGTATTTTTGTTGTGTTTGAGGTTCATATGCTCGCTCAATGTACTCTCTATGTTCGGGTTGCGGCCTTAGAGGAGTACCATTGTAGCCTTGTAGGAAGTTGTAGCCTTGTAGGCGCTATATTTTTCTTGTGTCTGAGGTTCATATGCTCACTGCCTGTACTCTCTATGTTCGGGTAGCACTCTGTATGTTGTAGCCTGTAGGATACTTCA